CTTAGATGGAGTCCGTCTATAATCTGGGACAAAAACAGAGAAAGAAGCATTAAGCGTACATATTGCGCGGAATGGAGGAGGCGCAAAGTTTTATCGCGGAAGGATAAAAGTGCAGAGCAAGCTAATAAAAAAAAAATCGCGGATAAATGGGCGGATACATAATGGAGCGAAGGCTAAGGCTAAGGGACTTTTTTGAAATGTGGCGCATGGTTGAGCGACGCCCGGCGTGCTCGCCGATATATAGAGATCCCGTGGCAGCTTGCGCAGCAGTTATATACCCGCGGCTAATATTAATGCCGAGCGATAGCTTTTGGAGGGGGGAAAGGGTATTAGCTGTGTAATGCGCGCGGCCACGTGCAAGCGCGCGCGCTCGTCCTATGACAACTGGCATATTACGCTCGAGGCAGCGGCGCCGGCGACGAATGCTTATCGATGCCATAGGACGAGTGAGTAGCTTGTCGACAGCAGGCTGCCAGCTACGTTTGCCCCCTCCTCCCGAATCCGAGCTTTAACGCGCTTCTTTTCCACCTCGCGTTGGCATTCACCAATGCACGGATTTACATTCATGAGCCTTCCGTATTGACAGTATAGCTTTCAAACGATTATACATGCAAAGCTTTATGCGGCTCTTGGTACGCGCCTACGGTTCTGTGTGCCGTTTATACTTTCATCATCTGTCACAAGATGTTTTTACTCGCGATTTTTTTTTTTCTTCCGACGAGTCTTTTCGAGCGAACGTTTGTTTTTCACAATTCAAAAGCTGATGGATTTGCCGCTAAAGCAGCTGTTTGTACAATAATTAATCGATCCGATGCAGAGATGCACAAATATTTGGCGTCTTGGTGATATGGTTACGCGCGAATTCTAATCGTAAATTCAAGCTTAAAATAAATAAACATGATTTTCTTTCGCGTGAATCTCCATCGACTTTTTTCACAAACATAATTTTTGTCATAATTAATATACGCTGCTCAATGTCCGTTACGTCATGGTAGCTTTGCATGTATATAGAGCTGTTATGCCTACTCGTAGTCTCTATTGCATATAGCTTCAAACTGTTTGTTTATTTACCTCTCTCTTACTCTCTCTCGGATCAAGAAAAATGATTAGGTTCTTTTTTCTTCTATTCTGAGCTACTCTAAGATCACGAATCAGAGATCTAAGTACGCAATTTAAAGATAGATCTCTAGCAAATGTACTTTACGTGCTTTACTTTACAATTCGTAATTCCTTTTTATTCTACTCGCGTTGAAAATGCGCTTTTGCGCGAGTGATATTTTTTGCGAATGAAACAATATTTATAATTCACTTGTTACGATATTTCCGCGCAAGTCTCAAAGAGTCAACGTCGAAATAAGCATAGCATCGATATCAATCCATTCATCAATTCATTTTTATCACGTCACTGAATATTTTTTGCTTCGTATTCTTCTGATATACAACGCCCTTGGGAGGAATTCTACACCTTGGCTGGGGCCAAAACGTACTCGCGACGACCTCGCCTGTGCTGAATTTGCTTGTTCTGGAGAAAGGCGGGTGGAAACATAAGTTACTCACATATCCCCGAGCCGCAAACTGAACATGTCAAATTAATATGCGTACATAACAGCTTGGCTCTACCAGCTTGAGTATTTTACGCCAATTTTATTTAGTTTCCCTTAGTGTTACTGGTCAAATAATTCATCGTCTACTCGAGATAAGTATTCGATCCGATCGTAATTGAATTGTAACTATCATAATTAAGAATCCGTTCGCAATCATATTTGTCAAATGCTGTGACCATTCTAATGATTGTGATTTCTGCCAGATTCATTTCTGGCAGATTTGTCGATAACGTAAATCCCCAGTAGATTAAATTTGAATTTACGTAGAAGTTAAGTTACTCGATCACTTTTTTCCGTAACAAGTAAAGTTCGTACAACTTGATAAATGAAGTTTGTATGACATCGTGCGTTTACTTTCACCAAATAAGAAAAGTTGAGCTTCGTTTATTTCAGTGATTACTATAAATGTTGCGTTTTTGTAATTCAACCTACTAATTTAATTTGATAAATAATTAAAACTACTGATATTCAATCAATACTATTTAAGTTATAAAATTTCAACAGTTTGGGCCGTTTTGAGAAACGTAGCTCTCCGGTATCGGTCCTTTTCAGGCTATAAACAGTACAATATAAAGAATATTTGTTATCGACCATTATTAACATTTTTTTCAAACAATTTATTAGCATTCACCGAAGCTTTGGCAATATATATATACACATGTGTATTGAACTAAAGGTAGTGACATCTAATTAACGATGATGACTTAATAATTGTCACGTTCAACCTGACCTCGTAGATTTAGCCAATTATATTCATCAATAAAATATTTGTAACATTGTTTTAATTGATTTCTATATAATTATCTATTGATATTTTCCTTTGGTGACACTACGCTTAATTAAGTACATGTATATGTATATACGGTTTTACATCAATTATATACGTTTAACTATTGTTTTCGTTGCCCATTCTTTGACGTCTGTTAATAGATTATTTACAAGAAACATTAATGGTTGAAAAAATTCATTATATTATACGATATATAGTCTGAAGAGGGTCAAAGAACTATGTTTCTTAAAACGACCGAAACTGTTACAATATTGCAAATAAAAATGGATTGATGGAACGTCAGTAGTTTCAAATATTAATTTTATAAATTATAAAATTTTATTTATTAATTTTATTTATTATCAGACATTTTATATTAATTTAATATGAATAAATTATATTGATAACGAGTTTGGCAGAGCAATCCCTTAAATTTGGTAATTAAAAACAAACACACCACATAAATTATCGATAACGTTTCGTCAGCATGGTCACTGACCTCCTCAGATCAAATAAATATTGATGTGATCACTGATTTGACCAAAATGTTTTGACCACTATGTTTTTATATCATATTTTGACTTTAACAAATTTTTGTTACACAGATTATGTGACTGATTGAAGATGTACTGAAGAGAAATGAAAATATTTATTTGATCTGAGGAGGTCAGTGACCATGCTGACGAAATGTTATCGATAATTTATGTGGTGTGTTTGTTTTTAATTAAAAAATTTAAGGGATTGCTCTGCAAAACTTGTTATCAATATAATTTATATATAAAAATGGAGAGTACAAAAAATTCTTTTAATTTAATATGATTTCAAAGAAATAACAATATAGCTTATTAAGTTACTACAAGCGTGTGAATATTTACATAAAATGTCTATTTATTATACAACCTCGATTATATCGATTCATTGTAGTATGTATAAGTGTTCGCATATAAAACGAATGAAGCGTTTTTATGTTACTGTCACATTAATGTATTGTGAAAGCCAGAATAAATGATTCATCCTGTATTTCATTTATGTCAAAATATCCAAGCATATGAATAAAGTCAAATTTTATATAAACCGTATTGATATATGATGCAGTAAAATAGGGAAATCATAAAAAAGTTGGCATTCGGAAAGGGAAAAACAAAAATAAATAAAAAAGTTCCTTAATCTAGAACTTTTACATCTCGACACGTTTTATATAATGTCGTAAAACAGCAGCAAGCGAAACACAGCGAACGAGTTGGAAAATCTGAAGAGATTGTACAATCTAACAATGGTATAATTTACATTTTCAATAAATTAATCAGCATAATCTTACTTTTGCAATGAAGAGCAGAGAGAAACTCAATGTAAAATGTGTTGTCATGGTATAGTTTAAATGAAAATTCACATAAGTTATTAGCGTAATGACGAATAAAAAAAAGAAGAAGAGTAAAAGTGGTACAAGCGTTTAGGATAGTAATTGGAAAAAATGAATAATTACTCTTCTATACCAGCAAATATTACGGAACAATGAGACGGCACTACTCTTTGACAAATGATATTCTAGAACGCCATACAGTCATTCATAAGAGCAAACTTATATATAAATTGGGGAAAAGAATCCCAAACGAAACCGCCAAAGTACGATGACGTGCGAAATTTTACGTATAAAATTGATGAAGCGAACTGAACTTATTTCACTGACAATTTTCTAATTTATGATCGTTGAATGAAATTACAGAAGAAAAAAAATCGATAGAGATGTTCCACATAGACGCTTGGTTTGTATAAAATTAAACGTCAATGTGTTACGGTAGATAACATGGAGGTAGTGCGTTAAGTTGCACTTAAAAGATTGCAGATATATCTCGTAGTACACTCTTTTAGAAGTGACTGCATTGAGCGAGCGTGTACTGTTAGATTCTTTCGAGTTCTCCCGCACAGCTTGTTTACCTCTGTGTAATTTATGGGCCGTTTATTCTGTAATCTGCGAATATCTCATGTTCGGAACAAGGTTCCTCACGGCAGGATGAATATAGTTTCCGTATCCCAATGGCTGAATGCTACTTTGAAAAGGGGAATTAGCAGACTCACTTGGATCAAAGTAAATCGGATTGCGCGTTTGCTTTTATTTGGGCTAAATGTTTTGACACAACGCGCAGTGGAATAGAATAGTTTTGGTGCGGCGCTACGCGACCGCGGATATGTCAGCCGTAACTCGTCCCAACGATAAAGGGAGCCAAATCGATAAAAAAGAAAAGAGAGACACAGAGAGCAGCAAACTTGGCAATATGCAGAGATTGTTATCGGGAATAAAGGCGATTGTCGAAATCGGGTTGAAGCCTGCAGGCAGTTTCATTTGGAAAATCACGTTGTCGGGGCGAGCGCAAGGTATCGATTCGGAATTAAGGAGTGCAACTAACGGCCTTGACAATACCATTTGACAAGAGCAGCGGCCTAGACAAAAGCGAAACCAACGGGGCGACAGAGCGAGCAGCGTGCAATACCCATGGCAAGGGATGGAGAAAGTGCTGCGACTGCGTCGGATCGTTGGCGCGCGCAAACAGGCGGATTTGGCGCTGGCAACACCGGCCAGCAGCCGCGATTATTTCAGTTACCCGCCGCGCTCTCGTACCGTTCAGACTCCCAAGCTCTTCTCGTGGCCGTTCACTGCGTTGCCGAATAAGAGCCTCGAAGGCAAGGCTCTCTTGCCCAAATTGATGACCAAGCGGTGACATATCCTTGTGCCATCGAAGAAAGTTATGTGCCAGTGTATGTCTCGTTGTAAGATAAATCTTTCGCAAGCCCGCCTCGTCGACATTGACTTTATTCAGTTTTCTCCTTCTGGCAAATCTGACACTATCCAATTAATGAAGAGGTAACCGGATCGACGATATTGGAGAAGAACTTAACCTTAGAATGATCCATCTATCAAGCTTAAAGGTAACAAAAGCCGCGCGCTTCTTCACATGCGACTCTTTTTCTTATTTTTCGTTCAAGTTCAGCTTCAAATTCACTTCGCATGCAGCATTCTCCAAATTCGAACGTCGCGGAAAAGCGAAATTGGATTTCTTATTCAGCGTGGCACGTCGACTCGGAATTAAAAAAAATATTGTCTTAAAAATGAATTCTGTGCCAAGCAGCTGTCACAGCTGCCTATACTCTTCGAAATGCGCCTGTTGCGCGGCAAATGCGGTTGCTTTTTTTGCTTCAACGAGCTTGCGAAGATGTCGTTATAACAAAATACATGAATACATAAAGTACATCAAAAACTTTCATTGGACTCGCGACATTTGTATAATGATGCCATTTCGCATTTTTTTACAACCTTCAATAGTACACGGACATTATCTGACACGTCCAAAATTAAAAAATATATGAGTTGAATAAGTTTCGAAAATATAAAAATTATTAAACAACATCAATAATCATTTGAATTGTTTCAGTCATTATAATTGCCAATTTTTAATTAATTGATACTGTTGTAAATATTCTAACTTAACAAAAGTAAATGAATTTGGTAGTTTGATAAAATTGGAATCTAGTCAAAAGATTTTTTAATTCAATTTACTGTCAGCAGAATTTATTTAAAAACTTATTTTTCAAAAAAATCCAAATTAACGAAAAAATAAAAAAAATTGTTAAAATTTACATGATGAAATGACACATACTGAAAATTACGGTGAGGATTCGGTTTCTTCCATATATAAGTCATACATATATGCACATATCCTATCGCTAAATAGAATAATTTTGATAAATAAACGCGTCAGATTTGTTAAATTGACGACCCCATAATATTTTTAAATATTCGCCTGTATAGAATTAAAATTACTGTCAATATGTTACAAAAACATTGTATTGTGTTAGTTGATGATTACTGTGATAATTTTGAGGTTTACTAAGAATATCATTTGATGTTTTTAAACAAATTTTCACTTTTCGAATATATCTGTAAAGAACAAGGTGTGTGATAGTTATTCAATTTACCAAGTAACGATTTATATTTTTAACTGTCAATATTACACCGAAGGAGACTGTGCCTTTGTGAATGAAATGCCACAAAAGATTAAAATTGTTGCTTTCTCCGGCTGTTATTGTAGGTATCTATAAAAGAAGAATCTTACGATGTTTGCTTCAACGTACTAAAAGTATCATAGTCCATTTCTCCGATTTTCCTTGAGCGGTAACTTCTACTACCCAGAAGGCGCCGCATAAATTTCCAGCTTTGGGCACTTATTTTTCAACTTTTTTACAGATCGAAATTTACAATAAACATATATAAAATTTTTACCCCAACAGGATATTGTGTTAAGTATATTATTACACGTGTAAATGAGAATGCCGCATGTACTTATTTGTGAAAATGCTGAATAATCACATTAAGCACACTTCTAATATTTATTTCATGAAGAGAAAATACAATTAAACTAGGCAGAGCTCAAAAACCAATTAGCGTTTTCAAGTTGTTTAAATAAAAGGATGCCAAAGCATGTACACTGGGGCGGTTCTGTACTGAATATTTATATTTGAAAGTTGACTACGATTGTTGGATAAGTCATAAATTATACAGATAGCAAATTTCATAACACATGAAAAGATCTTGATTTTCATTTACACGCTCTTAAAATATTATAAAAAGTTCACCTCGAAAACTGGATTTACTTTGTAATATACCATTGCAATTATAAGCAAAAGAATCATGTTCAAGAAGTGATATCCAAAACTATATATGTCCAAAATTTACTCGGAAAATCGTAGCGTGTCTCTATGCTGAAGCTATATATTCCTGTGGTGCCCCTGACAACAATAGTTAGCAGAAGTTATCACTCATGAGGGTACACAGGGAAAGCTTGACGTAGTTTTAAGCATCTAAATTGGCTTTGTAAGTTTCTGCTTTAATTGATGCCTAAAACAAGAACCACACTATTGAATAGTGACAAAAAATAAATAATTATTCGGTATATTATACGTTATAAGAAAAGCAAAGATCTAGTTATTTAAAAATGCAAGATGTCAGCTACTGCTGATTTTCATTTTTTTACTTAAAACGCACAAGTTGATAGAAAAGTTATTTATATTAATTTAGACTCATTATTCATTATATGCTATTATAATATCACTATTCATTGGTATTAAATGTACATTGGCAAGTGAGTTGAGAACTAATAATAATAATTATTATTATGACAATAATAACAAGTTTCGTTACTACTAATAACATATTTTTAATAAACCGTCGATAAAGGTGGTCTTATCATCGCTACTCAAAAGGCTATTTGAATATTTCCGCAATACAGTGCCCTTTGAAAATATCACTTGATCATTAAATATTCTATGGTTAATAAAAAAAATTATGACAAGGCATATTATAGAATAATGTCATATAACTGCACCTATTTATGAGAACTACAGTATTGCTTATTAGAATGGTAGCATCACGTAACTAAAACAAAATGGATTTTCCCAGTCTTTATTTCCTGATTCTTTCTTGCGTAAAGCATTATGTTAGATAAAAAAAGTAATTTAAGTATACGTGGAATTCTAATAAATTAATTAACAATCTTGTGCTAGCCAAATTTCATTGAGACAATGTGTTTACATTTCTATGTCGGCAAGTACAGGCTGTCATCGTACATCCGCGTGGAAGCTTAAGATATTCGTATGTATTTCATTCTATAGTCAACCGAGAATAACACTAAATTAATATCTCGACCAACGCTGCTGCAAATGACACGCGAGAGACCGTTTCTATTTTCTTTGAAAAAAAAAAAAAAAAAAAAAGATTTATGGAAAAAAGATTCATGGCACAATATAAAAATGTTTGAGAAAAAACAACTGTATGAATTTGTCGGGTCACTGTTCTTGATGGCTGGATAAAGTTTCTTCATATGTTTCCGGTGATCATAAAACTCTCGAATTGGTATTTCAAAAGGATTTCATCAAGTCTATATTTGACAACCTTACTTCTGCTGCATCAAGTCTATATTTGACAACCTTACTTCTGCTGCATAAAGACTGTTTTTATGACAATCTACTAGGATCCAATGAATTTTTAAAATTATCTCTCATTTTTCGCAGTGTAGTTCTTAAGGAAAGTTCATTAATAAAGTACTACTGAAAATGGCATCCCGCCAGCAAGTGCCGTAATGCAATTGCGCGCCAGTAGAGGACCACCATGTAGGTCCTTCGCTTATAGTGTCTTACAATGAAAATTACGATTGAAAAATTCTAGCGTTAAATCAAATTAAGTTTTTTAATCATATACAAATTCGATCTATCTTTTTAAACAAAACATGAACGAAACCAATGAGAATCTCGCTAAAAAAAATTATAATTCGGGTGAAAAAATTGAATAACGTGCCGCATACCTTGAATTACGATCGTATATGCTTTTTCGAGAATATATGAACATGTCTTTCTCGATCATACCCGATAATGTAACGTTAGAAATAAACTTATATGAATCTATTACAGCAACCTCTCTCCCCAACGACTTTGCATAGGTCTATTCAAACACACCATTCTAATTTGTTATTCTAAATTTACCCCTGTCACTTGCAACGTTGACCCTGTTCTAGCGTCGCGGAGCTTTACGCCTTAATAATATGGCAAAAGATCGCACATAAATTTTTTAATAGAAATTTTATTTGATAATTAAAAATTTTACAGTATTATTTGCACTTAGTTGAACGGAGAATTACATTTCTCTGACAGCGTCTGTGTGACATTCAATGGCGCCTACAAATGTCGTAAATATTTAATGTGCTTCATAACCCTTACATCAGCTTCAAGTATAACGTAACCTACATTTTTCAAAAGATACACGATTGAAATATATAATGAACTCAGATTTTACCAAATCTCAACCGGAGAAGTGGTAGTTAACAACGGTAACAGATTATGCAACTCAGAAAACAAACGAGTCTTACATGACATAACGAAACCATGATCTGTCAACCGAAAATTAACATTAAATTAAACATCTTCTAGCAGTGCTTTTGAAAGACAGCATCTTATAACATGGCTTACGAATCGTAGCTTTGTATCGAAAGGAGCCGTCGGTATAATTAGAAATATACCTATGTGATTTCGTTAGATAATGCATGAATCGGAAATTCATGATGTAATTAATGTATTATTGCGATAGATATGAGGTGATGATATATGCATTGTCAATTCCCGACAATATTTTGAACCCTAGTCGATTAACTATGTTCAGTTAAATTACGTAAAAATTTTGAGTTCGATCGTTTATTACCATACATGATTTTATATAAAGTTATGTGAATTTTTTCTTCATTGGTGAAGTTTTAGAAAAGTCCACTTTAACATTTTTATAAAATATCTGCAAACCAATTCTCAAGCATTGTCATTATTACGTGGAGCAATTCCGACTTTAAAATTAATAACGCAAATGTTATACTCATGCTCTTCGTTGAGATTTCTGACATAAAATTCTTTGAACGCAAGAATGAAACGAAATAATTCTTATCTTTCCCTGAAAATTTGTAGAGAAATATTAAATAATAAACGCGATGTATCAACGACGCATCAATGACTAATTTCGAGGGTGAGGAATAAGTTCTATTGAAAAAATAAAATGTTTGGCTTGTAGGTCGATATCTAACGTCAAATAAAATCAATACTCGACTATAACATTTAATTGAAATTCCAGTCGTGTTGAAACTAGGGTATGCAATTCACGCGCGACGATAAAATACTAACTTCATGCTTTTGTTATTGCAGTGTTGCTGAATTAACTACAGACTTTACATGTCTGCAATAAGATAAAGCGTGATCGATGTAAAAATGTGGTATAGTAATGGGAAGCGCTAGATAGCTATAACATACTTCGGACAAGTAAGTATGTAAAGGTTAAAACCGTTGATGTTTGCCATCTAATTTTAAGCTCTAGTAAGACGTTCCGTCAAGGTTACACG